GAATATACATATTCATTTTAAAAATCTCAAAATATATAAATCTTAAAATATAAATATTATTTTTAAAAATCTCAAAAAATTCAAGTTTCAATAGTTACATTTTATTTCTCAGCCTGACCTTTTCTCCTCAAATAACAATGATATTGGAACTGACCACAAAAATATTAAATTTTCACACCTTGATTTGACTGATTTTTTATAACAATGACCTCAATATTGTGACAGCTCCTTAATTTTTTCTTAAGAATGGCGAGTTCTGGGAAATTGCGATGCAGCCGAAATGTCCAATGATAGAAAAACATTTTTTTTAATATTTAAGTCGATAAATTTATATGTACATTGTATAAAATTCGAACAAAAAACTTATTAGTTATTAGCTCACACCTTGATTTGACTGATTTTTTATAACAATGACCTCAATATTGTGACAGCTCCTTAATTTTTTCTTAAGAATGGCGAGTTCTGGGAAATTGCGATGCAGCCGAAATGTCCAATGATAGAAAAACTTTTTTTTTTTTGAATATTTAGGTCAATTAAGATAAATTTATATGTACATTGCATAAAATTCAAACAAAAAACTTATTAGTTGTTAGCCAAAATTACTAACAAATAGATCAAGATGAGCTGTTTCAAATAAATAAATAAAAATATAATTTTTTTTAACAAGGAATTCATTCGCTGTCATCTCTGAAAGGGCGCTTGGTGGTGTGACTAATCCTCAGCTGACCTTAGATGTGTCAATTTCGGGTCACGGGTCGGGTTCGGGTCGAACCTTAAACTAACCCGGCACTATTCGGGTCAACCCGAACCCGACCCGTTTTTAAAAACGAGTCGGTTTCCTGGACCCAAACCCGACCCGCTTCGGGTCCGGGTCAACCCGACCCGACCCGAATGACCCGTTTTCAACAAAAAAATTACTAATTTTCGGATCAAAACCGGGCCAAAATAGGGTCGATCTCGGGTTGCCGGGTCAAAATCAGGTTTTCGAGTCAAAATCGGGTCAATTTCGGGTCAAAGAGTTAACCCGAACCCGACTCGATTTTTGAAACGGGTCGAAATGTTGAACCCGAACCCGACCCGTTTAGGGTTCGGGTTGACCCTAACCCGAAATTTTCGAGTCTGGTTCGAGTCGGATTTTCAGGTCGTGTAAAATATTGACACCCCTAGCTGACCTAGAAGAGGCACCAACCCCAAAAAATCTCCTAGCACGCACTTGATTGGGTTCCACTTAAGAGCTGCTGCCTGGTAAAAAAAAATGGGGTTGATGATACTCACCTAGCAATTAAGTTGAGCATCCATGGCTAAACTAAAAAACCTGATGTTTCTATCAACTGCTCTCGATTGTGACCCTCACCATTTATGTGGTGCTGTTTTTCCGCTACAGCTTTTGAAAAGTATGCTCAGCTTTGGTATTATGACAGCTTGACAAAATATTTGTGGTGTATTTTTTTTTTCTTTTTCTCAATATTATTACAAATTTATATTATCTAAAATTAAGGCAAACTCACCCCATAAATTTTTAGTTAAAGAAATACCTCATTGTATTTATCACTAACAAGCTCTTAGCCTTTTTTTTTTTTTTACTTTTTTTTTTCTTTACAGTTTATCTAATTTTGTGGGAGAGAACAAATATATTTTAATTTTTTGAAAATTAAAATTTCATTTAAGACAGTTTTATTAATATTTTCTAAAGCAGTATTTTAAAATAAATTAAAATATATATAGGCTAAAAACTATCTCAATCCAAGCATAAATCCCGAGCCTCTATCATGCAAGGCTGTCATAAAACCAATTAAGTTAGTACCAACAAAAGGCCGACGACTTGACTCACAATTTTTAAGAAGGGACTACTAAGCACTATGGCTGGCATCATAAAACGTCTAATTGTACAAACTTAAACATTGAACCTCCTAAAAAACCTTTAAAAAAAAATCTTTGGGATGTCTTTCTTTCTTTTTCTTAAAACAAATTTTTGATATAAAATTTTAAATTTTTGTACTAAAAAACGGCTATAAGAAGCAGTAGAAAGCCATTTGGGACAGCTTTCTTACTGTTTATTTAAGCAATTTTTTAGTACAAAAATAAATTTTTATACTAAAAAATTTCTTTAAGAAACAGCAAAAAAATCATCCCAAAAGAAGTCTAACTCAAGAAAAAATTTTCTAAATTAATGTGTGAAAGAGTCCAAATTACCTGCATCAACTTGCAGATGATGCACCAATGAATCATAAAATTCCGTTTTTGCATGTTCATAAAACATCTAATTGTAGATTTATATATTGTTAATATTCACTCAATTTATATTTTTATAGTATTTTATTAATATTTATAACTTGATCATAAAAATTGATTTTTTGGCATTATATTTATTTTAATGTTTTCTATCTTTTAGCAGTGATTTTAGCATCTACTAAAAGCGTTGCTAAAAAGGCGTTGCTAAAGGTTTCATACAACAGCACTCATAAAATCGCTGCTAAATTCTTTCCAATGAATACAAATACAACGAATTTATAGCAGTTTCTAAACCACTGCAAATAAATTAGTAGGTGTTTAAACTCCTGTAATAGATCCTAAAAAGTGTTGCAAAAGTATTTATTAATAACGACGACTACTTATTTGGTGTTGAAACTGAATCAGCCAGAATCAAATTTTGATTTGACTGGAAACTATTCAGTTCTTTTCTTGATGCCCTAAAACAAGCATCCAACTTTCTATTTCGCTGATAAATTGAAATATCTCAAAGACTCTTGAAAACAGTGTGGTAAATAGGTGCACAAAAATTCAACACAAAGTTGATAATTCAACGTTCATTTTAATGATAGGAACTTAGGTAGCAGCAATCTCTATTCTAATTCATATTATACAGATATAATCAATTCAAGCAATGTGATTTGGATATATAGATTCACACTGGAACTGTGCGATCGATACCAATGGCCGCCGTGTTCTGTCCTTCCTCTTCGTCGTCGTTCTCCCTCGACATATCTTCCAGCGACTTACCCTTCGGCTCCGGCACCAGAAAAGTGAAGAAGAATCCCAGAACACAACAAGCGGCCAACGCGAATAGCGAGTTCCTTACTCCAATCCCAGCTGGATACCCTTTATCCCTCTTCGCCGGATCCTTGTCCTGTGCAGCATACAAGAACCCGAACGCGCCCACAATCGCACCCGCCTTCCCCGCCGCCGCCGATATCCCATGGCATGTCGACCTCAACCTCGCCGGGAAAATCTCCGCCGGCACGATGAAGGTTGTGCTGTTCGGCCCAAAGTTGGCGAAGAAGAAAGTGAAGGCATACATAACCACGAACCCTATGTGATTCCCCTTTGTAGTCCAATGATGGTAAGGAATGGAAAGACCGAGCAAGAAGGCTGCCATCATGCCGAACCCCATCAATTGAATGGCGAAACGGCCGATGATGTCTATCAACGCCACGGTGAACCAGTAACCCGGCACGGTGCCGCAGAGCGCGATGAGTGTTTGAGCTCTGGCGACCTTGTAAACTTCCTCGAGCGCGTTCATGGTGCCGGCCTTAGGAAGCCAGCCGATAGCGCTAAAGATGTCTTTTTGAAAGAGGTTCTGGCTGTAGAAAGCGATGTCGAGGAGAAACCAAGTCGTCGTGGTGCCGACGAGGTGGAGGCCGTGGCGACGAACGAATTCCTTAGAAAAAAGCCCGAAGCTGTTTGTCTGTGCGGTAGCCACTTCGGCGACCTTCTGCTGCTCCTCCTCGATTTCGACATGGAGAACTTTGGACATGTCGGAAGCCGCCTGCTTTGCGTTGTGGGCGACGAGGGCGGTGTACCGGGCGGTCTCCGGCATCTTCATCCGCCAGTAATAGGTGAGCAGAGCAGGAACAGAGCCGAACATTAGGATGATTCGCCAAACGTAGTCGGCTTCCGGAACAGTGGACCCTGCTCGGTCGTCGTTGTAGTTCGGCACATCGTACTTGCTCTTGAACCCGGCGGAGAGTATGAGAGTGAAGATGCCGCCGGTGAGGTTACCGAACCCCTGCATCGCAAACACGGCTGCGATGAAAGCGCCGCGGGTTTTTTTATTAGCGTATTCGGACATGATGGTGGCGGAAAGCGGATAATCGCCGCCGATGCCGAAACCGAGCCAGAAGCGGAAGAAGCAGAGGGTAGCCATGACGCCTTTAGCGGAGTGGCCGAAGGAGAGACCGGAGGCGATGGAGCAAATTACCATGAGCATGAGTGTCAAGCCGTAAACTTTCTTGCGGCCCATCTTATCGCCGAGCCAACCGAAGAAGAGTTGACCGGCGAGAGTGCCACAGAACGCGACGCCGTTGACTGCGGCGGAGACGTTGGGTGGGAGGCTGCCTGGTGTCTTGGAGGTCGGATCGAAGTAGTAGATGCGGCCGAGGAGCTTGGTGACCAGCGAGATGCAGAACAGATCGTAAGCGTCGGTGAAGAATCCCATTCCGGCGATGACGATGGCCTTGAAGTGGTACAGTTGGGTTTTGGCCAAGTCAAGCTTGTTAAGAACTTGGAGATCTCTGGCCGCCATGGCTGAAATTCTTGAAGAAATTACCTGAGCAGTAGCTAGCTTGTGGCTTTCCTGGATTGAGGATTGAATTTGGGTGGTTAAATAGAGTGTGAAGGCTGAAGACTACTGATCGAATCGTTGACGCCGAAGGAATATGCCAACTTTGCTTCCCTTGTTTCGTGGAAAAATACGTTCTTGTTGAGATTATTGACTTTTGAAAACGATTAGATTGCTGATCCGACGGTTTATTATAATTTGATCCAATTGGTTAGCGCCAAACGGAACTAAACAAATGTATTTTACACGAAAAGAATGGTTAAGAATTGTCGCACGATGCGAATAGAGTCGTCGTGTTGTGCATTAAAATTTCCATTTTTCGTCGTAGGATGGCATACAAATGCATTAATTTATTCATTTTTAATAAATTACATTTTAATATGAATGCCTTATGACCTATTTTGACAACATATCGAACATAGGTTCAAACATTAGATGTAAAATATTGTTTGATGTAATTAATTTTTATGTAAACTGCTTGCCTTTGAGTTTCTAATCAGTAAACTCTTGTTTAAGTATGCACTTATTTAAGTGCGCATCTCGATTAAGTACGCAAAATTTTAACAAAATCTTAGGATTCAATATTTACATGAGATCATGAGCTTTGATAAGGCAAAATATAAAAAAGCTATGCAAATAAGTGTGAATTTGTGTTATTTCATTATTATATGCATGTTGATATAATCAAATTCTATCATTAAATTTAAAAATTTTACTATGCCCATGTGGACTATTGCATCAAAATAAATTGCCTATTATACAAGTAAATCTCTCCAAAAAAATGAGAGGTTGTACCTGCAGATGGGCAGACGGGGTGCGGGGACAGAGCTGGGCGTGCTGACGTAGACGGGGCATGCAGACATGACATCAGCTTGGTTTGTGAATAGCGGACGGGAGCTGGGCATGCGGAGACCGGACAGGAGTGTGGCTTGCGAACTGGAGCCGAACCCTAGACTAATCCTAAGTAAGCACCTTCCAGTTTGGTACGCACGAAATTTACTTGTTCAAGTTGCTTACTTAACCAAGCGGTTACTGTAATCTATGACGCAACTCCATTTAATGTGATGCAAAGACTTGCACTATTTAATGATTACTGGAACAATTTAGTTAAGTGTTCGTAATTATAATATTATAATTAAGTATTTTATTCATGAAGCAAAGTAATTGCACGTTATTTTTATTATAACGAGAAACTTAAAGTACACCACATTATAGATTTATTGTCCATAACATCTCAAAAAATTAATTATACAATATTAAATATACTTAAGATTAATAACATGGGCATTTATATATGTAACACTCATTTCCTTGAAACTGGATCGCCGGCCCAATCGGCATCTGAAAAAGAAGTGAGGGATAAATTAGATTTAGAGATAGGAATACCGAAATCGATCGTACCTTTAATATAGCGTAGCAGTCGCTTTAGAAGATATGCATGCTCAGGCATTGGTTGATGCATATGTTGGGAGAGGAGGTTGACGCTGTAGGCAATATCGGGTCGTGTGAGACACAAATACTGTAGTGAACCAATAATCTTCCTGTACATAGTTGGCTCAGCTAGTATTGGATCGGGAGTTATGTCTTTCGGCATTTTGGTACATGCCGGATTTGCTACAGGATTGCACTTGGTTAGTTGAGCCAAGGTGAGAATGGATTTGGCGTAGACAGCCTGTGAAAGGAAATACAAGTCGGGTGCTTTGACTATCTGTAATCCAAGAAATGAGTTAGCTTCGCCGAGCTGCTTCATAGCAAACTTACCGTTGAGTGCCGTTACAATTTTGTTAATCTCAACGTTACTGCTGCCCGTAATAAGGATATCATCCACATATACGAGTAGATATATAACAGTATTTTCTTGTTTAAAAATAAGCAAGGAAGGATCGGATTTACTATGTATGAAACCAATGGAAACAAGGAACGAAGTGAAAGTGTTATACCATTGTCTCGGGGCTTGCTTGAGCCCGTAGATAGATTTGTGAAGACGACATACATATTCTGGGTTGGTAGCATCCTCAAATCCATGGGGTTGCCGCATAAAGACAGTTTCTGACAGCGAACCATGAAGAAACGCATTGGCAACATCCAGTTGTTGAACCGGCCAATTATGCTGAAGGGCAACCGCGAGAAGAATTCTGATTGTTGGTAGTTTTGCTACCGGACTAAACGTCTCCGTGTAGTCGAGGCCATATTCCTGATGATTACCTTGTGCAACTAGCCGTGCTTTGTATTTGGCTATGGATCCATCAGAATGATATTTGAGACGGTATGTCCACTTGCATCCTAGTATAGATGCATTCGGTGGCCGAGGTACTAGACTCCATGTCCCTTGTAGCTGGAGTGCAAGAAATTCGTCAGCCATTGCTTTTCGCCATTCAACGTGCTTGCTAGCTTCAGTGTAGTTCGATGGAATGAATTGATCAGTGGGCTCGCTCTGGGTATGAAGTAAGTTCATACGAGTGATAGGCTTGAGCGACCCTGTCTGTGAGCGAGTGACCATTGAATGGGTAATGGTAGGGATATAGGGAGGATCAGGTGAGATGTCTGGGGTGTGAGAAACGTCAGCGGCTGGAAGATTGAGATGTGGAGTTCTTGTTATTATTTGATGCTGAGTTGCAGAAGAACTGGACAATGTATTTTTGGATGCATTGTGATGCTGAGCTACCGACGTGGGAATGAGAAAGTTGAAGGAGGATTGCTCAGGAGGTGTTTGTGTAACAACAATCTGCATTTGAGAGAAAGGAAAAAAATTTTCGTCAAATTTGACATGTCTGGACAAGATGATTTTATAAGTGGATAGATTTAAACACTTATAGCCTTTATATTTGTCCGAGTAACCCAAAAAGACACACAGCGGAGATTTCGGTTGAAGTTTGTTGCGAAGCGTGGAGGGTGTCAGGGGGAAGCTAGCACATCCAAAAATTCGAAGATGATCGTAAGCCGGCGCTCTGTGATTGAGGAGTTCATAAGGGGATAGATTATTCGTATTGGGAGACGGCATTCTGTTTATAAGATAGACAGCCGTTAAAACTGCATCAGGCCAATAAGAGTTCGGAACCGAAGCAGTGTGCAGGAGAGTCCTCGTAGTTTCTAAAAGATGCCTGTGCTTGCGTTCTGCGACTCCGTTTTGTTCTGGCGTGTAAGGACAAGAGATCTGATGAAATATCCCATACTTCTGAAGAATTTCTGTGAAACTTTTACTTATATATTCTCCTCCGCCATCTGTTCTAATACATTTGATTCTACGAGACAGAAAATTTTCTATGTAAGATTTAAAAGAAGTAAAAATTTGAGAGACTTCCGATTTATGTTTCATGGGAAACAGCCAGGTGTAACGAGTGTAGTCATCAACAAATAACAAGTAATAGAGAAAACCAGAGTTAGAAATCACAGGAGCAGGACCCCATATATCAGAATGCAAAAGTTCCAAAGGAAAAGTAGATCTATGTGTAGATGATGCAAAAGGCAATTTATGCGTTTTATCTTTAGTACAAGAATGACAGTTAAAAGAATGAAAATCAATATGTAGTTGAGGTTGAGACAGAGCAATGCTTCTAAGCGTTTTCTGGCTGGGGTGGCCCGTCCTCTGGTGCCATGTGTGGTTGGCCTCCTTATTCGTTTTCAGAGCACAGTGCTTGATAGAAGTTGGAGCTCTAATTGGATAAAGGCCCTTATGGCATGGACCTTGGAATATAATTTGCTGTGTCGTCAGATCCTTAAAGACAAAACCAGACGGGTTAAAGATAATCGCAATATTATTGTCTTTTGTTAGTTGCGAAATCGAAAGTAAATTATAATTGATTGACGGAGAATGAAAAATTTGAGATAAGGTGAGCTTACGAGAGGGAGTCGGTAGCAATCCTTTGCCGGAATTTGCTATGCTTACCGAACTCCCATCGCCAATTGTAATACCCTCATGTCCAGTGTATGGACTGGATACAGAGAGGTTGTTCAGCGATTTTGTAAGATGTGACGAGGCTCCCGAATCTAGATACCAATCAGTGTAGTCTGAAGATTGTTCCGCCAGCAGAGCTTTGGTCGCTTGGGGCTGTTTGGGCGTAAACTGTGCATTCATCCTATGCCAGCAATCAGTAGCAGTGTGCCCTTTCTTGAGGCAAATCTGGCACGTCGGGACCGGCCCAGTAACTTCTTTGTTTGTATTGGCGTTGCTGTAGAAGCGACCTCTGGAGCGACGTCCACGCCCGCGAGTAGAAAATAGAGCTGTATTGGACGTGTCGGCTGGAGCAAGATTTGGAAGATCAGTGGCCATGTGAATCTCTTCAGTGATGAGAAATGAATAGAGCTGATCAAGATTTAGAGGCTGTGTCATTGTCCTAATAGATGTCTTGAAAGATTGATAGCTCTGAGGTAGCCCGCGAAGTATGTAAAGAATGATGTCTTCTTCTTCAATGTGACCGCCGGCTGCTGCGATTTGATCGACGAGCGTCTTAACCTCGTTAAGGTATTGAACCATCGTCTGATTTTTGAGAGAAACATTGTGTAGGGCGTTCTTTAGTTGTATGACACGAGATCTGTTCGTAGATTGAAAACGCGTTTGAAGAGTCGTCCAAATGGCGGATGTTGTATCAAGATTTAGAACATATGGTAAGATTGAAGCAGATATGGTCGAGCATAAAGAGGCTGCAAGGTTTTGATCGTTGAGAACCCATTGGGCATAAGCTGGATCTGGAGCAGTGGTGCCATCAGCAAGATGGATCAATTTGGTGGGAACCGGAGACGAGGGATCAAGAAGTGTCTCCAAGCCATTTGCCCGACAGATTTTAAGAACTTGAGAGCTCCAAAGCGGATAGTTATCTGGAGAGAGCGGATTTTGAACAGTATTCTTGAGATTTGAGAGAACAAACTTGAGAGATGACGACAGAACCGGAGTTGTGGATGTCTCCGATGATGCGCCGAGCGTGGAAGTGGCTGGTGACTCCATGAATCCCAGAGATCGTCACGATCTATCTGATACCATGAAGAATTTCACGACAGAGAAATCAAGAAGAAGAAAAGGAAAGGGATCGAGAGAAGAGCATTTCAGAAAAAACATAAAGAATGTTATTTTCAC